CCACTTTTTCAATTCAACTTGCGAAGTACGCTGTCTCGAGATAAATCGTGAAAAGTTTAGTCGATACTGGAGATTTCTTGCCTTCCCCCACTTTCTTACAGACTGGGACAAAAAAAATGCTATGTCTGTCCAGCGGCCTGTGCTTGTTTCTTTAATGAAATACACAAAGCATCCAAAAGTGCCTTAGCAAGAGCTCCAAGATCCAGAAAACCCAAAACAATTAACTTCATATATCATTGAATTGCATGGTTTAGAATTCTTTGATAAAAAATTTCTCGAAAAGTGCATTTGCATCTGATTTTGTAGACATTTCTTGTCTGCACTCGTTCCTCTCAATATAGCCCCAGGGGAACATCAAACCCATACATCATTTATTGAATTAGTGAAATGAATTCGCATGGAAAGCTTTGTGTGGATAAAAACTCAGTCAATTAAGTGGTTCATTGCATACTCAAAAATTTCACTGCATCTGTACTGCAACTGCACTGATCAGTTCACAAAAAGAAAATTTGATTTTTATTGGGCATTAACGTTGCCAGCGCTTTTAAGAGCAGCACGTTCGATTTTTTTTTTTTTTTTTTAAAGCCTCGATGGTATTAAATGCTCCTTTATCCACTAATGCTTTGTTGATAAAATATAAACAGTAATTTCTGAAGTGCTGCAGCTTTTTAGGCCAAAAATTGCCATGCAAAAACTGAAGGCCTATAAAAGAGGCAAAAAATTTTAAACTGGTTCTTTAGATAAAAATTTTACGTTAAGAAAATTCACGCCCTTGAATGAAAAGCGCCTAATTCTACTTACGCTTTTAGTAGCCGTATACTTGCAATTCTTTCAAGTCTGGACCCCAAGCATAATCAGTTTGCTGATCACTTCCAGGCTAACAATTGCAGCTTCTCGTAGCCCTCAGTTTCCTTCCTCCCCCACTCGCCCTATCTTCGTCCTTCACTTTACTTATATCCACCCACCATTCAAACTTTTAAGCGTAATCACAACAAAGGATTCGTTTCAATTATCGTTACTATTCATGTTCACACAAGCGCACAATTTGAATGCGCTTCGAAAACACGCATAAATTTAGATGTGGCGCCTTTTCATTAGTGCAAAAGAATGCTACGGCTTTTTTTTTCAAGCACTGAATTTTGCCAAATTTTCACATCTTTAGAGTAAGGGCAGTGCTTGGGATGAGAGTGGATAAGGGTCAGAGGAACAGGTTGGAATGAGGACAAACAAAGACCAGAGCATCCGGAACAGAAGAGGCAAGTCGAGTCACATAAAAAGACTTGCCTCACGACTCCTCCACTTG